GAGGGCCAGAATCTGTCGACTGACTAGTTCGGTTCTATTGCTAAACGACTGGAACTGGGCCCTACACTCTGGCCGACATCATTTCTTTGTATTCGAATCAGCTCTGACGACATTCTGCATAAACAACAATAGATTTCATATGCAGCATTACAATTTGAAATTGATTTTCATTATCGAAACATAAAACAATACGAAAGGGGGAAGCATAAAAAATCCATTTAAGCCTAATTGGCAGACAGCGATAGCGTTTTGTTATGGCTCAATAAAAATCAGAACAGGGCCAACAATCGGAGATGAACAAAAGAGTGCTTAAAATAATATAACTGGAGCTTATGAATGACAAAACATGATTATGATTAAATTAAATTAAGATAATTTCTATACAATTAAAGTATAAATTAAAATKAATATAATAATCGTTGAATTTATAAAGAAAGACCTCAATCAGCCCAAAGTTACATTGGATTAGGTTCTATCAAGTCACACTTTCATCTAGCCATACAGTAATTTATCTATAAAGAAAGTTATCTATCTATAAATCATAATTTAGACACGATATTCATACGAATTAAACTGTTTAGACCTATTATTGATTCGATTTGATCAACCGACGTTTTTAAACTCATTCGCGATTTCACGCACAATTCTAATATCGTTGGACTTGTGCTAAACTTAATTAAATATAATCATCATCATCCCAGAGAGGGAGAGAGAGAAAGAGAGAGAGAAAGAGAGAGAGGTGTGTGAGTGGAGGGAGAAATGCGCCCCGCGTCGCTGTCAATTCAAGAAATTCTGTTTTGATTTGAGACACAAGCCAAATGAAAGAAATTTAAAATCCATAAATGTGTTGGCCACACCACAGTCACAGTCATAACAACACCCAGCCCACACACACACACACACACACACACGCACACGCTCGCACACGCTTATAATCAGCTGGATGTCGATTCTCTTTCACAGTTGGGTCGAGTTTTTAGCCCACGCTGCGAGCTTCGATTTCGAGGCAGTCCACAAAACAACAAAAAAAAAAAAAAAAAAAAAAAGCAGWAAAAAAARAAAAAAAMAAACGAAAAAACAGATTATTTTCCCCTTAATTTTATTATATTAAATATACCCTGTAGATATTGGGCATATTTAACAATGCATATTCAGCTCAAGCAAGGCTATTTATATACATTTACATCAGGCTTGCTACATAAATATAGATATTTTAGTTTATATAGTTGCATTTTTAAATAATGTAATACATATATATAATTATCGATATTAAACTTGCTTTAGTCATAGCTAAATATATTCGGTGATTCGTGATGCGTTGATACTTGACTCTAAAAGAAGTCTATATCATCTTTTTGTATCTTTAAGTTATAATATATCGATAAATATCGATTTGATGAATTTACTGGGTCTACGTGTTTAATTCAAAAAATTTACATTGTCTGTTAGCAACTTAATATCTTGTAGTATCGATAAATATCGGCTTCGAGCTTATATTTACTTACTACTAGCACAAACCAAGTTCAATTTCCATTGCATTGTTCCAGGGTATTACTTAGTCGTATCCCTTCTGGCTGCCCTGCTTTTTTGTGTGCCTCATAATCGCTACGCAAAAAAATAACAACGTTAATTTAAATGGCCTAATCGAAGCTCGCCAGCAACAGAACAAGAATGCGCTTCGAGTTGCTCTTGTTGTTGTTGTTGTTGTTGTTTTTGTTGTTGCTCGTAACTGAAATTTGTTGCTCACCTCAGGGCTTTGGTGACACTCGCGTGTCACTTGAGACGCGTGCGAGCGACAGTTGCACATCGGACACGACCCGATCCGCAGCGCTCCGACCCGTCCCAGGATCGCTCAGGATGCGAGTGACGATAAGGAGCTTCTCGCATCGCAGGCGCGCAGCGCGTTTGAAATTGAGCTTTAGCTTGATTCGAGCCGCTACTCTGAGCTGAGTCGCCGTCTGTCAAATGAACTGTGCGCTGATCCGCAGCGACATGCAGACACTCGTATCACACCTCTCTCCCCTCCGCACCCCCCTCTCGCACCCGTCTCACATTCTTAGTGCTCTGCTTTGTTGCTGTTCTCTGCTTATATTTATAAAATTATATATGTATATACATATATCGTTGATTGAAATTAATATTTTGTTTCGTCTCGTTTCTTAAACTTTAAGTTGGCTTCCAAGCGAAGCGTGTGGCCGCTAAAAGCAGCAACAACAACGACAACAACAACAAAAGCAACTTCATGTAGCAAGTGCACACACACGAATACATACACACACTTATACACTAATGCGCCTGCGTATAGCCGGCTTAGCTACAGCAAGTTCGTTGCCTAAGTCTTTCGTTTTCTTTGTGATTTTTTGTGTTTTCGGAAAGGCAGCGCAAAATTTCTAGACACAATGCATAGTTATATATGATAATGCATACAATCGCGTTACCGTTATGCAAGCATTATTGTAGCATTTACATTTTTAGTTGCTCTTGCTGTTGCTGTTGTTATTGCTGTTGTTGCTGGCTGCATTTAGGCGTGCACATTATCAAAATGCTGATAAACGTTTAGCAACAAAAATGAACAAGAGCCGCGCAAAGCAGCTAAATGGGACTTGTTGTTGCTTTAATTAAAATGCAAAAAGGCCAATTGCAAATGTGTTGCTGCCATGCGCAATTAAATGCAGTCAGCAGCAACAGCAGCAACAACAACAACAAAACTTGGCCAAGCGCTGAGACAGTCAGAAGGCAGAAGGAAGTGCGCCAACAGCGTTTTTGTCTGCACAGTTAAGCATGTTTAATACAGTTTAGCCACAAGCTCTTAATTACTAATGCACGGCGAGCGAGAGGGGGCACTACTTGTGAGCGAGATGGAGATATTGCGGAAATGTTTTGCTGCCTGAGTTTCGACTAGCTGCGAGCAGCGTGCAGCGTGCAGCGTGCAGCTGCCAGCTGTGTGTTGACTGGTTTTAAGTGCATGCACACTCGGCCACAACAAACATGGCTAAAAAGGGCGAAAAGGAAATACACGATAGCTATACACACAACAAACGGACAGACAGACAAAGAGAAGAAGGCAACTGTAAATCTAGTGAGCAAAAAAATATAACGAATTTTCTATTAACATTTTTATATACCCAAGTGTGCGCTTGAACGTCTGCTTGGATATTTATCAAGGGATTATTAACTATGCGATATTTTCGTCCGATTAGCATAGATGACCAGAGCCGCTTGCATCGTATTAACGATTGCCAAAGTTAAAAATTTGTTCAGCAGGGGAGCGGGTAATACAGAGATCGGGATGCTTGAAGATCATTTATCTGTTTAGGCTTAATATTTTATGGGTGTCGAAATATCAATTATTTTTAAGAGAGTTTCCATTAGCGGGGAAAATCCTGTACCTTGGGTACTATTTATCATAATAATATAAAAAATGTAAAAATATCATTTACATATCATATGTAATATATCATTTGTCTTATTTTTGAGACCCAGAGAGAGAGGGAGCAGAGATGATTGCGGGGATGGTGAATTGCTGCTTTAAAATCATTTATTTGTTCAAGCAACATGTTTGAAAGAAGTCGAAACTCTAAATTTCAATTATTTTTAATAGTTTTGCTAAGCTGAAAATGCAAAAAATTAAAAACAAATTAAATTTGAACAGAATTCACACAGGCGGAATTATAT